ATGCACTCGTTAAAACAGATCTCGACGATCTCTTGAAGCAGTCATACACACGCTCGAAACACGAGGTTTCTGATCTTTGGACCAACACGGAGCTGTTGATAAGATAATGAAAATCGTCGCATCGCCGCGTGACTAATTTCGCTGAAATTTTCGCATAACAAAAACGCAATCCACCGAAACCGAATGGATTTTACCTCGAGCGTAGTTATGAAAATGCAAAACGTAGACAGCATTATTGTTATTATTGTCAGAATAAACAAAGCGTGCTGTGCAAATAATTCGTGTAATAAATCGGAATTGCTGTTTCCAAACGAAAAAGTAAAATCAATTTTCCCTAAAATTGTTTATAATTCTTTCGATTGATAAATCTGATTCGAATCTGATTTTCTTCATTTCAAATTGATTAACGACCTTCCATTAAAATAATTAATTAACAATCTATAATTCAGAAGTCGACACTTCTCTAACTCTTGAATTTTTTAAATTTCTTCTCAATGTTAACTCTTGGTTGATATTTATAACTCAAGCTGACCTATACTGAAATAATACATTTTAGTGGTGCAATATAAAAATGAACCACGAAACAAAAGATAACGTTTACTACGAGTAATTTGAACTAGAAAAATATTACAGGGTCTGATGGACCTAGAGTACCAATCAAAGATTAATTTCCTAATTAGTGGCAATAAAACTTTCTCTCATTCCACACCATATTTCTGAAAATTTTCAATAAGGTGATTCAGGGATAAGAGAGAACGAAGTAATGTACACAAATTCATATTCACTTTAATTAAATATATCTATGTACATTATAGGTACATCATAATACATTCACCATATGACGACTGTACAGCTTAGCAGCACTTTCAATACTGTTCACAAAAATACATCGCATATAAACGAGCAATCGGTTTATACGCAAGGTCGGCCCAGGACTTGCGACCGCTAACGAGTATCTCTATCTCTTTTCTTTTTGATCTGAATCATGGCTGGAAGGTGCAGCCTTTATGTACAAAAAAGAATTTGGCTCGAGTCGCAGGTCGGGCCAAAAAAGGAAGGAACATGCCACGAGAAAGTACGATCTCGTCCAGGGATCGAAACTGTTACCCACTCACAGCGGTTTCGAATCAGCTCCGAGAAGATTTCTCTCCTCGCGATTGTTTCGAAGAATCGAATCGTCGATGCGATTGATACAGATCGATATTTCGTGATAGGATCGATTGAAAAGGTGGAACAGAGTTTTCTCGTTCGAGACTTTATTTTCGAGAAATTCGGTTCCGAGTATTTTCATACCTTTGTTTTTCTAAATAATAGAAATTTATATGAGAAGATGCAATTGATCGAGGATGATTTTTGCAACGATTTAGTGATTGAAAAATTAGGAAACAAAAAAAATAATTTTAGAAATTTTAATTCAACAAATTCCACAGCATAAAAATTATAATTTGTATGTAAATATTTGAAGCTTGAAAGATTGATAATATTAATAATTTAAAAAATAAAATTTTGTATGTGTAAAATGTACACCACATGTTCACTTTAATACTATATCAAATATTAATTAATTAATTAATACTCTTAACGTTTCGATGAGACCGAATGTAAAGTAACCATTGCGGTTACCTTAATTAATTATATTACTCTAACTATTGGAAAATCTGATAAAGACTACAGAAGCATGATCGTCGCTGTTTCAGTTTTCAACCCCTGGATCTTACGGAAGAATTATCAACAAACGAGCGCCCAAGTGGGCTGCGGATTTACTTTAAGTACCATCGAGAAAACACGAGATATTGACACTTTTCATACCGATGATAATTTTATACAATTACATAGACTGTGTGCAATGAATTCGGCCTTTAGCTGTCGCGACGAGAACGTGTCGGTTTTGTAATTTATATAAAGAATAACATTTATTATTAAATCCATGGTACTTGACTGATATTAATTACTTTGTAATGAAAACTTGATGAATTGAAATTATTTAAAATTGTTAATAATTGAAATTAAGATATTGTTAAAATAAAGAATTGTGTCATTTTTTAAAATATATTAATAATAAGATTGGATTAACAAATCACAAATTGATCTGATTTAATTTAATGAGTTTAAAAAAATAAATTTCTAATTATCGTTAACACTATCAGTTAGTGTATCTGTTAATTAAAATCAAATATCAGGACATATTGACCCCTGTCTAAATAAATATCTTTTTTATTATCACACAAGAAAACGACCAGCCACAAAATCTTATCTATAAGAAAAGACGTAACCGACTCATCCTCGTCGAGCACGTTATCACAATTTTTTTTTTTTTTTATACTCAAATCTCACTCATTTTCACTCTCCCAATCACTCTCTCGCTCTCATTCAGCGTCACAATGTGCTTCAAGGAAAATCGTATAGCGTTTGCTATTCACGGTTACTATGTACAGAGACGATTTCGCGAAACAACTTAAGGAACATTTGGTATCGAGGACAATAATTCGGTCGGCGGTCGCGATGGTCTGCCGCGAGAAATCGAACTTCCCGCCACGAGTGATCGTCTAGGAACGTTTCCTGCTTGCACCGGAAACCGATTCGACCTCGTTGTTTCCCCGTTACTTTCTGGCTGATCGAAGACGAAATCAAAATTTCTGTTTTGATATCTCTTATATACTATTACGTGGAATATTGCATTTTCATTTTGGAGTCAATTTATTATGAACCTTAAAATATTAAAAGAACTTCTATTAACACTATTTTTATTAATCTTTGCAATTCAAGGAAATTAATTCTTTAAAAATTGAAAATCAATAGGTATCTTCTGGAAGACACTCAGCTTTATAAATAATGGTTGAATGATATTCTTTGAAAAGCGTAAAACAATCACTGGTTAATGGAGAGAAGAATCATCTAAATTACTTCTAGCAGCGTATTACACTTCCACGAATATTTATGATCATTCGCACTTAATGCCAGGCAATATTTAAATGGAGCTTTCGATAAGGAATGGCCAGAACGCGGAGATGTATATATAGTCTGATCATTTGCATTCACTGAACGTCCTTTCTCTCAGGAATATTTAAAAATTTAATGTGTTCAACTGCAATAAAAGGTTCGATGGATTTACGATAGCGGTTAGAATGGAGAAGCTATAAATTTGTCAGAAACATGTAAAACTTCGGGAAAACTATGAAATATCGAGATGTATTGGAAGAATAATCCATAAAATATTGTTTTTTCGAAAAAAAAAAGAAAATGGAAATGATTTGTATCCTATCGAGACGATTTTATATTCATTTTCAATAAAATAAAAAATATTTTTCTTATAACGATAAAAGATTAAATCAAATTTTTATATCTAAAATTAAATATTTTACGATTATAGAGTTATTGTGCAAATTACTTTTTAAATTATCGTTATCAGTATTTGTTTTTTGCGATAAAAAGCGGGTGAAATGATTTCCTATGTGCGTGAAAACTGTACTTTTTAAATGTTAACAAGAGGTAACGTGCGAAATGTGTGTGCGTTGGCAGGAAATTAATTTGAAATAAAAAATCACAGCAGTTAATTGGTTAGAAAAATTGAAATTTCAAAATGAATAGAGAAAGTTTCATTTTCAATGTAGAAGTGATTAAAATAGTTTACTAAATGGTTTTAAAAATGGTCCAACTTATGCATATAATTAAAAATTTATTTTCTAAAATAGAACCATGCAATTTTAGTTCTATTCTCCCCTAAAATAATAATTTGATCATGAAATTTCTTTTCTGTAATCTTTGGTATTAAATTTGTGCGTTCCTTTATAATATTTCTATTTTAATATAAAATATTGACTTACAGTAAACCGATAAAAAAAATTATCGGATCGTTTGAAGGATGTTTATTGATATCTACTTGTTAAACCCGTAAAAATATACTTTTGACGTCAAACTGAATCCGCTACAATTTTTCATTTTCATATCACTGGTTTTCTCGTTACATTTCAAGAGTTGTACTACCATTTATCAAGGGATCGCTTCGTCTGCTAACAGGTTCCAATATAAATCATTATTTTGAATTTCCATATCATGTACCTAATTCTACAATTATTAATTATAAAATAAAACATAAAGTACTATGACACTGGCAAAGAAATACAACTGTTACGTTATCTTTGGGATTGATGGCTAATACCTATTTCTGTTATTATAATACTGATAAAACTTTTAATTTTGCAATTAGATAAAAAATTTTGCAAAATTTTTTGATTTTGTTTTAGAATATAAAATTCTCCTATGCAACAATTATAATTTCTAATTTTGTCATTTAGCTTTAATTTTATCAACCATAACTAATTTCATTCCAAAAAAAAACATAATTAATTATAAAGTTTCATTTAACTAATTCCAGAACCATTACAGATCATAGAATTATCTTCAACCTCTTGAAGAACTTACAATTTTCTATAGCACTGTGAAAAATCACAGTGAAGTTTAAGACTTCATTTAATTTGATATAAAGCACCAAGAAAGTAATTAAATTGCAAGTGAATAAATTTCTAAGAACAATAACGGTAATGCATCATAAGAGAATCGCGTTGTAATGCGAAACTTCGAGCCACTTAACTTAAATTTTGATAGATTTAAGAGCAGCTGAAAACTTTGCTCGATCTGTTATCTGAATCTTTCGTTTCGAAGAAATATAGACTCGCTGTACAATGAAGTCTACTTAACATTTTAGAAGAAACGAATTTATCTCCTAGTCGTACAGATAACTGTTTAACCGAGACATTCATTGTTTCAGCTTTGGATAATTTAATACCTTTCCTGCAATCCGAGACCTAATTACTATAATTCAAAATAAACTGCAAATTTTATAATATTAAATTTTAATATTCTTTCTTTAAAATAATTTGGAGTTTAAGAAAGTGAAATAAGATTTTTTGAATGTTTCTACTGATCTTTTGAAGATAAATAAATTTGAATAAATTGAAAATTAAAAATTTTGCAAAAATACTTTCACACTTGCAATAATACAAATAAATTTCATTTTTGACAATTAAAAAAAAAAAAATTATAATAAAATTGATTTTCTTAATAGTGACGTTAAGTCATCGGCAAAGAAATTATTCTCCAGCATTTTATTTACTATTGCACCTCAAAAATGCAGCACACCGTAGAGAATAACTTAATTATATCAGACTATGGCATAATTTAAATAGAAGAGTGCGTCAGAGAGCAGAGTGGTGCGATTAATCTCCAGCAAAATTCCATATTTCATTCCAGCAAGGGCCCTTTGATTCTCATTAAAAAGAGACCATCGCGCCTCGAACTTTGCGATACAGAACCGGTGGAAAATTTAAAAGAAAACCCGATACCCTGGAAGAAATTGCACGAAAGCGAACGACGAGAAATAATTCGTTCGAAATTACTGTGTTCGATGATCGGAGAGAATCGTTCCAGAACTTCTCCAACGACGATGAAAAGGAGGAAATTTTTATCTGAAACTTGATCGACGTAGTCGAAAGACTTTCGTCTCTTCCCTCAGGAAAATAGTTCAAACTCTTTCCTTTTTTCATTCTATTTATTCCAACAGAATGGATGCAAATACGTGACTACTGTGTGCTTCCTTGGAAAAATTCTGTTATTTTGAAAATAATAACTCAAAATTATTAATTCATTAATACTCAAATTTTCGTACATTGAAAAAAATTAACATGTAAGGAAATAGTATAAAAAATTTTTAATTAAATTTGGAAAATATAAAAATAAAGTTAGAATTTTCCAAATAAAAATTCACCCTAAAACAATCAGAATAAAAAATAGATCACTGCAAAGTATTAGATAAGAGATCCTATTCTAAAAATATGGCCACAGAAATAATGAAGAACAAAAGGATTTGGTAGAGGATGAAGATTGATGAATTCGTAAGATGGAATAAAGAGATGAAAGAGAAGAGAAATTCTCTTTGGCCACGAAACATCTTGTGATTCAGTGAACAACAAACACGAAGAAAAATCGTGGCAAAAAAAAGAGTGATCTTCTACTTGTTTAAGGAGACAGAGTAATCTCTCGTTGAGAGAAATGGAAGTAAATTACCTCGCTTTATGCATCTGCCTCTGACGAGCTACTCGTAATGAAGTGAAATTCCTTCTCTATTTTCAACCAGTAAGACTGAAATTCCTTCCGCGTTAGTTAAAACATACTTCAATGCGTTTCAAAATTGAACGACTCAACGAAATTTCAGAAATGAGCTGCTTGATAAAATTCTAATCTACATTGTAAATAAGTGGCTTGAATTTTCTAGAAAGAAAATTATAAGAATTTTCGTTTAATACTTTGATGGTTGCTGATTTTAATCAACGAGTTTTGTCATTTTAGATTCCTTTTTATATCGTAGGAAAATTATTTTTGGAAACTTTTCTTATAACGTATGCAATAAAATTATTAATTTTTCAATTGTAATTAGTATCAAAAATACTGATTTGTTAAAATAAAAAATTAATTATTATAATTTTCATGAAGACAAGCACTGACCAATCTTTTATAATTTCAGAAGGATATAAATACCTTATGGTTAAAGATTAAATTACTGCTGATAGCGTGACATAAGTAGCATCAATCATTCTTAATTAAAAAGTAAAGCATAAAAAAATACTGTAAAACTGTTATATCACTACTGAAGACCAAACTTCGAGTTAAACTAGAAGCGATCCATCAATTTCCGTCGAAAAATGAAAAAGTGAGTAAAAATGTTTCACGAAGATATTCTCATTAGTTTCATCGATCACCAACTTTCAAAATATCTATAAATATGCTTTAACTTTTAGTACGTTCCGTGCCATGGAAAATCTCCAATGTCCACATTATTATCAACTAAAATAAAGAATTTTTTCATTCTTTTAAAAAGATCATTATTATAAAATAAAAATTTTTCTATGAGCATTTTCCTATGACGAGTTAACTCGTCATCCTCAATTAAAGGATTAAATACTTCGGATCACCAATGATCTACACAGCACAGAACACTATATAAAATCATAAATGATCATAAAATTACTTACAATAAGACAGTTCGCTTGGAAAAGTAAAAGTACCTTTTGTCGATTTTCCATTTACTCTGTCTCTGATGGTCGTATATTTACCTATCGATACCTCAGCTCGGTAGTATCGATTTAGGTAGCGTCGATACAGCCAGGAAGTCAAACAGTCTTACACGAAGCTGCGATTTCTATCGCGTCAGGCCACCGACGTGCGGTTTTGTGTACACGTATATATATCTACCTATCTATCTATCTATATAGATCCATATTTAGATTTATGCGTATAGGTAATGCGTGTTTATCATATGGATGTGTGTATTCTGGTTCCATTTTGGTCGTGTGCAAGAGTCCGACGATCAGTCGTCACTCCACGCTTGGATGTTTCTTTAACAGTAATGCCTCTCCAAAGTGGACAAATTTGCAATTTGATGATTCTATTAAAAGTATCATAAAAATTTCAATAAGGGTACAGAGGCTATGGTTCACTAACAAAGTGATAGGAGACCATTGTACTCTAGTCGAATGGGCAGCCTCTTGGGTATATGAGCTTCAAAATTTAATAATAAAAAATTCTTAAAATTTTCGAAATCATAAAGGTGAACCGAGAAATTCTTAACCCATTTATGGCAAAATCAAATGGAAGCTAATAAAATATAATTATAATAAAAATTTGTTAATGATAGTACAATTTTTGACAACTGAAATACAGAGATTTTATGATAAAATATCAAATTATATTTTGTCCCAAATCTGGAATGGATGGGTTAAAAATTGTACAGTTCTTCAACAATCAATAAAAAAATAAAAAGAGGAGAAATATAAACCTTTCTAATCGACAAGGTGCACCCCTAATTCCCACCATTTAGAGAGGCAATACCGCATCCTCCACTCTTCCATCGCGCTACTTATTTACAGCGATGTCCATTCTCAGCCAGAATGGGACGATCTGGATCAGCCATGACCCTACCGCGTCATCGAACAGAGAACTCTTCAAATGACCCAAGAACGGCATACTTTGAAGCTGAAGAACCATATCGATCACCCTACAAAGAGAACTCTATTTTCCAAAAGCTCGAAATCGAAGAGCCATAGTCTCAGCTTCAAAGATCCCCTTCCTGCGCCATAATTCTTTGCAATTAAAAGCCTAATTATCGGTATCACATAAGTTCCGCGGCTGACTTGACCTAGCTAGGAACCACACGCTCGAAGATTTCTTAGGTACTTGAACGAGCCTCGACAACGATTACTTTAATAGACGAAGAGTATTGGTCCAAAGAGAAATGTAATTACACGAACGCGAAGGTCCAAGATCCTCGAGCTTCAAGGACCTTCCTCGAAGACGCGTGCCTTTAGCTCGAGATCTCCAGGACCCTCTTGCAGTTATGTACAACTCTGTTGCTATGGACATCGCACATGCACGCAATACTGTCGACACTTAACACCCGTGGACCTCGTGTCGTCTCTCTCTTCGGGTTCGTTTGCTGATTGTAAAACGAGCAACATTAAGATACACGTAAACGTGAACAGCGATTATAATTCGTAGTACCCTTTGAGTTTTCGGTGTTCAATAATCACAGCGCGCGTTTCAGCCTTCCATTGCGTAAAGAATTAGACCGTTAGTTAAAAGCTCGCCGGACCCATCCTCCTCCTCCTTCAATTTCACACGACCAAGAGAAGATAAGGACGAAGAGTCAACACGTTCGCGAGTAAGGTCCAAACGAGCCAGTCTACGATACCCCCGTTACTATTTACACGAATCCTAGCGAGTTTCGGTGTCCACCGATTTGTACGATCGTTTACACGCGAAGAAGAGGTACAAGTCCAACATACCGTCCAAGGAATATGGGCTAACACTGCACCGTCGATTGTCCTCACGCGATCCTCTTCGCACCTGATCTTCCATCCTGTTCCTGGTGAAACCGATTCACGCTGACACTTATTTCAGGCCATTCGTTGCATGAATTCGCCCCGCGAATCGCGTCCTTTTCAGATCTGCAGGCAATTGTCCCACCACGAGCCAAAGTGTCACGAGGGAACGATCCTGTCGATCGCTATGTACCAGACCCGTGATATATATTTGAATTGCAATAAAAACTTGGTGAATCTTTCTGACCTTTATATCTTTGACCGGACCAAGTCATTTTAGTATAGCGTTAAATAAAAAGCTGGCTGGAATGGTGGCTCGGAACTGGAGGTCCCTAGGAGACGGGTTCCGAATCAGTGAACCGTGTGTCTCGAAGTACTTGAAGCGTGAAGTCAAAACGCGGTCTCCGTAACTTTCCGACCTGGCACCGACCAAGCCGTGTGTATCCCGTTACACGGGATCATCCCGTTGGGATTGGTTGCTTCAAGAGCCTCGAGATTGCCAGCGTGGTACGATGTAAATTCACCGGTAGGGAATATGAGGAATTTGTTAGGGAAACGATGGGTGGGTCTGGTTTAGGCGTTCTCCTCGTAGGCATAGGCTCGTTGACGAGCATCTAGGCTCGGTCAGGGCAGCCCGAAGCCGAAGAAAGGCGCGATAGGCCTGCCGTCGAACAGACGGGGTGGCGGAAGTGGCGGTGGCCGTTTCCTCCGCGGGGCAATCAGCGTCTTCTACAAGGAACCTTTAGCGAACACTATCTCCCGGTGCTTGGTGCGTATGTGCGAGCGAAGGGTGTCGATCCTGCTGTAGGTAGCCGGGCAATAAGGGCAGAGGGACCGTTGGGCCGTGTGTATGTGGAAGTGGTGCCAACGATTGGTCACCTGTTTGCCGCAGGCTCGGCATCTCCACAGGGCTGGTGAACCGAGGGACACGGCGAACATCTCGTGATAGGAGAGACCGACCGGCACGCTGGGCATCGTACCTGAAAACCCAACACGCCTTCATGCGACATCGTCTCTCCCCCACGCTCGTTTATCTGGCGATCTGTCTTTCGTTCATTCTCCCTTCGTGTCGCATTTATGTTTCGTGTGTTTTCGTTCAAGTATTCGTGAATTCATAGGGTGATTCAAGGTGTTAATAATGGCATGAAAATTAGTCTCAACATCTTCGCATCTACTTCACTTGTAGAATGAGTATGGGTGTAATTAGAAGTAATTTATAATTAAAGACTTTCTTCATGGTCGGCCGTCCGAGAGTTATAGAACCCCAATTAGAAACATTCGTAATTAACTATTTGAAGTCATAGATAATAGAAATAATGAAAATAAAAATATTACCTAAAAATTTGATAAGAATATCCCCTTAAGACGAACATATGTATTAGGTAAGTATGATATACCTCGAACGTTTAATTAAACACGGATTCTTCCAATTTATTTTTGTTTAATTTTCTTAAAAAATTTCCAAACATGACACTCAATTTAACTGTTCGTTCTATGAAGTTTACCAACTAGAAAATGGTGTAAAGTTATGATAGATTCATGTTCACGTGTATGTGTGATGGTGAGCAGGTGTACATAGGAAACAACAAATAAAGAAGCTTTCAGACTTCATTCACGCGCACGAGCATCATCCCTCTCTCACATCTCACGACAGATAATAAGGCATCCGTTCAGAAAATGTGCTAGAATACTCACGTTTCGAGACGACGGAGTCCGTGGACGCAGCCGGCAAGAAAAATACTCGAACGTTTGCCGATATTATCGAGGGATTACCTGAGAATGAACCTCGCCTCGCTGCCTCTAATCCTTCTGACAAGGACGTGGCGAAGTTATGATTGCGTTAGACGGAGATCGATACTGAAAGTAGCTTACGTATCGATTGCCTGATCATAAATATACTGGTTCAAAATCGTTGTCAATTTGGAATCTTGGAAAATACGAGCACTGATATTATCTCTTGTTCTCTGTCCTTTTGTTTCAATTCAATTACCAGTTAATTACTCTAATTAACATTTTGAAATATTTCAGAAAAATATAATATTTATAGAATTCTAAATATCTCAAAATATTACAAAATTCATGTAATAAAGATAAAAAGTACCCTATTTGTCTTTTTTTGTAATTAAGTTTTTGAATAATATGGAGTTAGAAATTTATGTAAATTGAATTATAATTATCTATCGGATTGATGAAGGAATTTATTAAATTTCGGGAGTAGGAACCTGTTGATCGTATGGACAGCTCTATTAAATGAAGTAAGGGGTCCTTTAATGACTTGGCTAACTCAATTTGAAGGTAACCATTTGGAATTTCAGGAGGAAGCTCTCTGATCACTGTATTAATTATTCTATTAATATCTTCTTCCACTTATACGTTGTTCAAATATTTCAATTTAAAATTACATTTTCCAAAATGAATGTAAAGTTTACGACAATAGAGCATGATTTGATGTTCCAATAAAATTAAGTCACAAGTAATACAGAAAAGTGTGTCAACCTTAATCCATCGTATAACGAGATGAATTACATAGATTAACCCGTTGACGAACCCGAGTCTACCTATACTTAAATCTACTCTATTCTCTCCTCTCCAAGATCCAGTTATCCCCTTATTCCTCGTACGCCGGTCTCCAGCTGCAGCTAATCTCGAACAAACAACAGGCTGGTCGCGGGGTAAAAATGTTTTCCCTCGGAAGTAAAGCATGAACACGCGTTAACGAGGCTTCCCCGCTGCGGTGTACCTGTATGGTATTCGAGCTCGTTGAATATTTCACTGGAGCTCGATGTTATTTGAAAGCCGAACGCTCGCACGCTGCTTCTGATAATCCACGTTCCACGGGAAACACAACTATACCGTCACGGTTATGCCGTCTGGTTATCGACATCGTGTACGGAGAAGTTTGCACACGATCTACCGAGCAACGCACCGCGAGTAATCCTATTTGAGCCTGATTGCCGAGAGCCCGAGCGTACAGGCTTGCTTACGCTTACCGATACGCCCGGTTAAAATTGCTTTCTCGAACCCGGTCTACTCGTTTTCCACACTCCGCCCCAATGGAAAATAGTTTATCCTACGTTTTTGTTACTTGCCACGTCGAAGAAATGCGTATCGACGAGTGGATTTCTTGGATAATGCGTTTACTCCCACGCGATCTATATATGGGTGACACACGTCATGTGTGACATGTGATACTTTCCAGGGAAATTCACCACCCTTGTTATTAGAAATCTGAATTTAAAAAAAAAATGTAGTAATTTTCTATAATTTAATTTTGAAAGATGTTTCTCATTCTCTTAGGTGAGATGGGTGACGTTCAATGTTCACCCATATGTTCCTATATTTTTATGCAAGCGTCGTCAATTGTAATTTGTATTATTGATAAGATTTTGTTTTTTGTTTTTATGCATTATGCAATATGTTTACCACGAATATATGTCATGCCACGAATCTTTGTATTCCTCTGTAAGCAAGATTAAATGTTACATTAATCTAAATATGGGTGAAAAAGTCATATAAATCACTCTATATTAAGACTATAAGCATTTTTTACGAAAATTTAATACATTAATCATTGTGCAATATTTTTATGTTGAATCATATCAAATAATTTGTCTCCTTCGTTAATAGAATTAATTATATACATATGAAAAAAATCACATAAATAATTTTGAATAATAAATTAAATTAATTTATAAATTTGTACACTCAATAAGTTTCCATTATAAATAAAATATTGCACAAATTTAGTTTTCATTTGGTTATTTTTTAAAACATATTTATCTAATTGTGCACCTATTTTAATACTAATCAATTCAATTTTTTTTTCTAATTTATATCAAATTTTCTCAAATCACTTTTGTCACTATGTGCACTTATTTTCCATACTTAGGTATTGTATTAAGGATGACATGAAAAATCTATGAAATACCCAATGTACACATGGATAACATCTTAGAAACTCGATTAAACTTAATTACAGTTATAAAACGTCTCGAATGGGAAGTGCAGTACAAAACGGAGGTCTTCTAATTTTTCGCTGCACAAACTTCGAAAGGTCTCGAAGTTACGAGCACTAGAAAGTTTAGTTAAGTTCGGCACAGTTGATGTTCGACTACTTTCAACCATGGAGCTTGTAACTTCCGTCAGAATCGCGACTAATCTCCTGCGTGCAATTTAACATCCCCCATTTACTTCCTGAAAATTTTAATAACAAGCGGAAAGAATTTCTTCTCCCTTCCGACGAGTTTCAGAAAAGCTATGAGAACGTATTTAATTTATACATAGAATTTCATCTTCCCATTTGCAAACTTCTGCTTGCATTTTTCAATAATTTTAATAAAATATTAGGAGTCGTTACAGTATTTTATTCATTTTAAAGATGCTTTTCTTCTATTATTTTCTTGCAATTTATAAACTTTTTTTATTTTCCATGGGGCTTTGATTAAATATTCTAGATATTAAAATGTATGCTTCATATTTTTAGAATTTTTAATTTTTTTTGTTTTATTTCAAGACTCTAACAAGTTATCTGCTGTGTTAGCCTATGGTTATCATACTTTTATTCTTGTACTCCATTACCTGGTAGCTTTAACCAAATATTCTACGTACCAGGAGTCGTGAATTGTTCTGATAATTGTCTGTTACATTTCCTCTATTTATTTTACACAGTTTTAAACATTTCTCTGGGATAATGGATCTTCGCTGGTCAAATTCACAGTCCCCTTGAATTTCTTGTTCAAATTATTCGAGCTTTCGTTCCACGTCGAATTTAAAATGTATCACTAATTTGATAGGAATGAACTATATTTTTTATTTAAAGTAAAGACTCCTTTCTGTTTTCATTGTTTAAATTTTAGATGGTACTTAATTGTAATAGAGTTATGTACCATTTCATAGATTTTTATGAAAAATTTTACATAATTGATCCATATTTCGAAATATAAAAATCTGAGAAAAACAATTCTACAATCTCTCGGCACTTTTCTATTCATCTTGATTCGCATAACGAGGTAAGAACGTGTTTAAATAGAAGGTAACGAGACTAATAAACGCCTGATTCTCATAAGCTCATCGCCTTGCCTGTGTAAAGTAATTTTCTCAATTGCATGGATTAGGTGAAATGGAATGCGAGTGCAAATACAGTGGGAAATTCTGATTTTCTGGTATTAGAAATATTCTTTTATGATCTGTTCAACCACTGTATATTCTGTTATTTCTCTTTCTTTAATTCCCTGTAACCGTTGAATTTCCATTGTTATTTTCTTTTCATACGATGCAATTTTCTGTGAGTGTTGATTCATGCAATTGAAAAAAAAAATGCAATCGTTAAAAACGAAATGTCTATTTTCGTATCCAGACAATACCGAGACAAAATCCGTCAGTGGATGAGACTCGTCTGCAGGCTGGTAATAATATTTAAGAGGAAGAATGTCGCGAAGCCATCGGAAGCTCGGAAGGCACGTGATGTCGGGACAGGAAATCCGTGCACACCGGTGCCAACGGAATTCGCAGACTTTAGAGACGTCGTAAAACGTTTAACAGTAGCCATCAAATTTTCCGCTGCCACGTTTACGGTGTTAGAACCGCGTCACGATGGCGAAAAGTCGAACCGAATCGAATCACGTGGATTAATAACCCTGGTAAGACTGCGGCAGACCGGATGCAGCCGATCTTGCAGCTCGTGAAAATATTTCAGCACATTTCAAATGTATGCATTTTTCATTTCAGAGGAGGAAAGAATTTTTAAGGGATCTCCCTTGAAATTTAATTAAGGCAAACTGAATAAAGATTTATCATTTTCACTTGAAATTCAAAATATGCAAGAAGCTTTTAATTTTTTAACATTCTATAATTAATTATACTACATTGCATTTTTAAGGAATTTATTTTAAAATTTTCAATATTTAAATAATCATTATTTAAACAATATATTTCTTTTTACATTATGAATACAATGTATACAAATGTTTCCTTTTTCTAC